CCCCCCCCCCCAACATACCTGATCCACTGGCCACTCTAGGTGCCCTGGGACCTGCACTGTGTGCAGTGGGGCTCCCAGAATGGGTGCTACATGTGGTGGCTACCCTGGCCAGACTGTGCCACACATGGCATCTGCTCTAGGACACACCTTGCATGGTGCCTGCTCCAGGCAGTTCAGGACCTGTGCTGCACATGGTGCTCATACCTAATGTGTGCTGTATGTGTCTCTCATTTGCTGGAGTAGGTTCTGCGTGGCGTGTAGTCCAGCTGCTGCTCCAGCCAGACTGTGTTGTTTGCAGTGCCTGTTCTGGCTTCTCTGGGATCTATGCCATACAGTGTGGGTTTTAGACTGGCTGGAGCAGCCACCAATCGGGGTCCTTGGGCCTGATCTGGCCATGGGCTGGTCCCAAGCCACTCTTTTGGCTTGCCAGATGAGATTGACACCCCTGATCTAAGGTAAATTTCATTTCATGGAAAGGAAACTGATCTTAAAATAATACAGCTGTGTTTACTTTGGGGTCACCTTGGGCTGAGGAGACTTCAGAACAGACAGTGCTTGGGAGGGGAATAGTCTGTTCACACATGGAAGAGCAACATGCAGACTTCTTCAATCCTTTTTGAACAAACTCAAATGCCACTTATTTTTGTCACTTCTTATCTGAAACCATTGATCGTTCTCTGGGATTGGGATTAGAGTTTATTGTTTGACATGCATCAATTTAGAGTGAAAGATCCCACCTGTTTCTAGACAGATTCTATATGCCCTCAGTCTAGTAAGGGATAATTAGGCCTAGTTAAAGGAAGAATTAACCTTAAGCTCTTCCTTTCATAGGAAACCCTTGCCTGTATTTCCAGACTTAAATTTGTGGACCATCTCCTTATGCTAATACATTTCTAACACAACAGTCTACCTTTTTGATGCCCATGGAACCAAAGTGTTGATCTACCCTTGGAGTGCACATCAAAGATTTCCACTAAAGCAACAAATTAAACCAAGGAGAAATCTGACTGTTGGTTTAGAGACAGGAAAGGAAAAGCCTTTACTGATAACCCTGTTTGTTTATCAATGACCAGGCAGGAGAAATCTCGATGGGAAGTCCTGCAGCAGGAACAGCGGTTGATGGAAGAGAAGAATAAACGCAAAAAGGCACTCCTGGCCAAAGCCATTGCTGAGAGGTGAGGCACCTGTTCTGCACTAAAATAGAAATAATATTTATTACCCAAGTCTCATAATGCTTCTTCATTTGAGTGTCTTATAAACTGTCTTGTAATCCTTTCAAAAGGATCTGCATGATGGAAAATTAGTCTGATAAAAGAAAATTAGCTTTAAGTTCCAATTGAATACACAGTGGGGAAGTGGGGGCACAAGAGCAATATCAAGTCACTAACTACCTTCACATGAAGCAGGGGTATATGGATATGAATGAATCGGGCTTCTGTTTAGAAGATGGGACAGGATCACATCATTGATACTAGTTTGTTAAATATTCCAACTTTGACTCTGAATCAAGAAGGGTTATAAATTTGGAGAGGTTTTGCTATGTTTGTATAGCTACAGAGTCATGAAGTTTTTTGTAACAATTTGTTGCATCTGTCAACACTCTAAACCTTAGCAGATCTTTCTGATCCCCAGGCATGTGAAAAGAAAGATCAGAAAGCATAACAAAAGAGACACGTTTGGGTAACCAGTAAGAAGCTGGTGGGTCTGTAATTAAAACATAGCATGTTAGATTATGATAGGATGCTTTTAAAACAGGTGTTTTTCTTTTTTCAGATCAAAACGAACTCAGGCAGAAACAGTGAAACTAAAACGGATCCAAAAGGAGCTACAAGCTCTGGATGACATGGTATCTGCTGACATTGGGATCCTGAGGAACCGAATAGATCAGGCCAGTGTGGACTATTCATATGCTCGGTAAGCAATGAACAGGAAAGCAGGGGAGTAGTCTCTGAAAAGCCTATGAAGAAAATCTGTTTGAAGAATGGCTCACAAGCACTGCTGTGTTATCAGAAGGTGGGCTATTTCTTCCTTTAAAAAAAAAAAAAAAAAAAAGGGGGGGGGGGGGGGGGGGG